AGGTGAAAAGCCAGCGGCCTCCCAGATGTTGAACGTTCATGTTTGCTCGAGGGAATGCCAGCGAGCTGCAAGAGGGGTCGAGGTGAAACCAGCGACTTCCCTAATGCTAATCGTTCATTCTACTCGAGGGGATGCCAGCGAGTTGCAACGGGGGTCGAGGTGAAACCAGCGACTTGCCCGTTGCTGAACGTTCGGTTTAGCTACCGATCCAAATGTTACTGAAAATGGCGGTCGGTGCTGCTAGGCGAAATTCGCTGAATTCTCGCTGTCTTGTACCCTAATCCCTACTAGAAAAACAAAAAGAACAGGAAAAAAGGACAAAGGGAATAACCTACCTTTGAGCCTTTGCTTTTGATGGAATTAACGCACTTATCGTGCGTAAATTTTCTAACGAACGTTACAACAACGTTTTTTGCACATATGCACGCCTAGGAAACGAAAATGTACTGATCTGTGAATGACGCCATCCGTCACTAGCCGCACTTGAAACTCGGATCCAGGTTCCCCTATTCCCTCACAGATGGAGCCATTTTCTGACACTTTGGGCATTTTGCATGGTTAGGATACGCAAGGTAATCTCCGAAGGGTCAAGCCGAAGGCACAGACATAAAATATTTCTACATAATTCTTGGACACAAATTTTCAAGTTTTCCCATTATATCTTCACTTCTTTTGATAATAAAATCCCAGCAAAAACCTTCTGGAATTCTTGTTCAAGAATCTTATAGAAATAATCCCAATAGAATGAGTCATCCGGAAAAACCAGCATCAATCTACTTTTTTCTATAAATAAATATCTACTAAAACAATTCCCACAATTTTTTATACAATCAACGCAAAAAAAATCAAATTCTCTAACAGAACTCCACCAGAATTCACATAGAATGATATTCATCTAGAATTCCTCTCAAACTTCATTAAAATTCCGTACAGAAAGCGCTCGGTTCTTTCATCAAATCTTTTCAAAAGTGCACTCTTCACGCCTCCCCCCCCTCCCCCTTCCCCTAATAAAGATTGATTTTTTTGGTAATAGTTTTCCGACACATATGACAAGTCTTGAGTGGTGCGGAGCAGTGTTCACACGCGCCATGTCCACAAAGAAAAGCGACATTTCTCCTCCTCTCCATGCAGATGCTGCACATGTTGGCCTCCTCCAGGTCAGCGACCCTGGTCTCCAGATACCTCAGCCTCTCCAAGTCTTTGTTCTGTTCTCTCTCCGTCAATTCCACCTTCTCGTCGCCCTGGGTCTCCTGGAGGCCAGAGGTCTCGCCCTGGTCGTGTCCAGTCGAGCTGCGCAGGTCGTTCCTCATCTCCTCGAGGACCTCAGTGTCATTCGCCTCTTCTGGAGTGGTCTCCAGGGAGTCGACAGCCCCAGGCCCTTCAGAAACAACGTTCACCCCCATCTCCAGGCCCAGGAGGTCCCTCCGCCTGTGTCTGGAGTGCACGTAAGACATCAGGAGGTCCTGGAGGCCCCCCTCACTCCTCTCGGAGCTCAGAAGATCGAAGGGAGTCTTTCCTTTCGAGTTCTTGGCGTTCACGAGGTACAGGCCACTCGCGCTGTCGTAATTGATGAGGAAACAGCTCAGGGCGAGCTCGGTGGGGCCGTTGGCGTTCACCAGGCCCTGCCAGATGGCGTGGACCATTGGGGAGTCCCGGATGCTCTCCGGGGTAGGAACTATCGGAGGCAGGTGACGACTTTTGGCTATTGCAATGTGCAGAACTGTGTCGCCGTCCTCGTCGATCGCTCTGATGTCTGCGTTGTGGTTCAGCAGGAGCTCCACGAGGCTCCAGTGGCCCTGGGACACCGCCAGGTGGAGGGGGGTCTGGCGGCGGTTGTTGCGGAGGTCCACGGTGGCTCGGCCACCTGGGTCGGAGACTAGGATCTGGGAGACCTCTCGGTGGCCGTTCAGGGCTGCCAGGTGCAGGGCTGCGAAGCCGTCGTCTTTCTTCACGTCCACCTGGTGGCATTGAACAGTTGGGGAGATTCAGTTTTGGGGCTTTATGCGAGGAGAAGGTTTGGTAAAGTTTGGGGTTTTACTCGGGATTCAGAATTCATTTGGAGGAAAATTTAGTGTTTTCAATTTTTTTTTGTGAATGAAAAAGTATTAGTTGAGGGATTGGTTGCCTGTAAATTAGGAAAATAATTCAAACGTTAAAATTTTTTAGGATGACCTTGAAGAAGATTTGGTAAAATTTGGGGATTTTACTGGTTGTTCACGAATGAATCATTAATTAATTAATTAATTAATTCGTTGCCTATAAATTGATAAAATTATTGAAAACATTTTTCAAGATGACCTTTTTCATAAGTGAATCATCAACAATGAATTTTTCACTCTAGAAATTATCTAAAAAATTAATAAAAAGTCTATCGTTGATTCCAGACATTCTCTCATTGTTAATAACTCATAAATAAATAGATTAATTCAGTTCAGTCTGACCTCGATGATCATCACAAATGAAGAGAGTTGTACTTTCCAAAGAAAGAAGGAAAAAAATCTCATTTCATCAAAAATTCAATGAATTTTTGGAATTAAAAAAAATGATTTGGAGAAAAATTATTGTTCTCAAACTTTGGTTTCACTAATGAACAATCATGAATTAATTGATCAGTCGTCTACAAATTATTAAAATACTTTAAAAATTTAAATTTTTCATCAATGAATCGTAAACATTCCATTTCATCAAAAATTCAACGACTTCTTGAGATTAAAAAGTCATAATTATCCATTTTGCCCCAGACACCTCTAAATAACTCCCCAACTCACCAAATTCTGAATTCGTGTCATAAGTTGTCTCGTAGCATGTGCATTTCCCTTCAACGCAGCATGATGAAGGACGTTGAATCCCCTCTTATTCCTCAACGTGAAGTCAATCCTCTCGCAGTTGATCAATGCATCAATAATGTCAGTGGCGTCTTTGCCAATGGCATCGTGGAGCGCAGTGTCCCCATAAGAGTCTTGTAAATTAACGTTGCAATTGTGGCGCAACAGGACTTTGACACAAGTCGAGTTTTGTTTATTGACGGATACGTGGAGGGCAGTGCAGCCAGAGTTGTTGACAGCATCAATGGGTGCACCTCGATTAATCAGGAACTCCATCACCCCCGCCTGATTGCCGAAGGCTGCGTAGTGCAGAGGGGGGTCCCCGTCCTCGTCTATTGCTCGGAGGGAGGCGCCTGCGTCCAGAAGGAGAACGCAGAGCTCTCGGTTGCCCTGGTGGGCTGCCACCTGGAGGCAGGTCTTCTTGCCACCCCCGATGCCACTGGGACGGGCGTCCACACTGCCTGAGTACTTGCGGAGGAACTCACGGACTGAGGAGAGACCAGCCTCACCACGAGCTGCATCACGCAGGAGCTTCTCCACTTCTATCGCTGCACCGTCTATCACTGGGGATTCCATAGCTGGAATAAATTGAAATGTTTTGTAAAGTGGACTTTCTGGGGATGTAATTAGGTAACAATAGGACTGGGAATGATCCAGGGAAGTGAATTATATTAATTAATGGATTAAGGCCCGGGTGTACTATCTTTCGAAAGTTTTCTGGATTTTTTTTTATCTTTCGTAATCCAAAATTGTCAATTGAGTGGTACATCATGTAGAAATTCCCAAAATTATGATAGAATGATAAAAAAAGGAAAAATTCTGAACTTTTTCAAAGAGCGTTTTCAATTGAGATTCAGAATGAGTCGAAAAAAGTGAAAATTACAAATATCTGAGTCGCTGTGGCAAATTATCTATTAGCTGTCATTTTCCATGGTGGATAACAAAACACTAACTCCTCATGGGAAGTGACAGCTAGGTATCTCAATTTTCAAAACAGTGGTATGTAGTCATCTGCCATTTTTGTGTGATAAAAGTGTGATTAAAAAATTCTCCAAAATATTACAACTCTTTTTAAAGAGTTTTTTCCGTAATAAATGTCTCTGTGCAGTGTGGCAAAAGATTTACGAAATCAGTCTTCCTCCTGCATGATATTGGGTGACAGGCTGCCATTTGTCACCGTAAATCAGATGCATTTTTCAATTTCTTGTTATTCAACTTATTATGAATATAAATTAAAAATGCTCTTTGACAAAATTAAGAATTTTTTCTACTTTTTTTTATTATTCATTCATAATTTTTCAAAACTTCTGCATGATGCAGGACTTAATTGACAATTTCAGATGACGAAAGATGAAAAAAAACATCGAGATATCGTTCGAAAGATAGTACACCCGGGCCTTAAATTGATAGATTAATTCTTTAATTGGTAATTGTTCTTAAAACTTCAATTTGAAAATTTCGGAATTTTGGACAACTAATTTAGAGTGCATCTGTTCGTGGTTGCAAAATATAACTTGTAAAGATGAATAAGAATTGCGGAGATTGGTAGATAATTTTAGAGGCATTGGCTGATTAAATTGTGTTGTTAGAACGCTTTGTAATGATGAGTAGAAACTTTTTGACTGTTGAATAATACACGGGTAGAAAATTAATCTTCAAATATGAAATAAAGAATTTTTGAATTTTTTCACAAAATTTCAGCAGTGTATTAGAATAATTGATCAGTTAATTCGGCGGATAATTAAAATAAGAGTAAGAATGTTGACGAAAAAAATGAAATCACATATTTGAATTTCAAAGGTATTCAAGTACTCACTAGGAGCTTGATGACGATTCAATTCAGCTTCGTGTCCACTGGAGATCCTGGTGACACTCAAGGGGTTGAATGTCCACGTGTGGCCGTCCAATGTAACCCTCAGGTCTCCATCCGGATATATTTTAATGACTTTCCCTGTTTTACCTAATGCCTGTGGAGAACAAATTTAAAAAATCTCTTCAGATCTCCTAAACGAGACAATTGAACTACAGTTCTATTTTTTATAAATATCTCCATAGAATTCAAGCCAAGGCATGAATAAAAACCTTCCATATCACATCATAAATAATAAACTGAATAATAATTTCATAAAATCCTGTCAACTTCCGACTTTTTCAATTCTTTGAATATTTTCATGTATTATCCTGAATAACTGAAAATTATATATTTGCACTTGACTATATTTATTGTCAATATTTGCCCCTGTAATTCTCTTTATTCTTTTGGCTCTCAATACAACATAAATAAATAACCAAAAACTAAAGAACAAAAATTAAAGAATTCAGTGGCGAAGCGCTAAACCGAATCGTCGATTTTGACTATTGTCCAGTCTTCAATAAATATCTCCAAACCACAAAGTTTTTGTTCTAACCTTTTTTGCAAAGCGAATCACGAGCTACAAAAGGTAATGACAAAAATTTCGCCATCTCCCCTATTTTGGAGATATTCTTGGAAAACTCAGGAAAGAGCCAAGTCGACTTGAACAGTTTTACCGCCCCACTACTGAATTATCCCAACGATTTGAAGTAAAAAGCTTCAGACTCACACTCTTCATCACATCGATCCACTCGCCATGTCCCTGCTGATAGTTCTTGACCTGAGCAGCATCGCTCTTAACCTGCACCAGATCCCCAAGAGAGAAGGACTCCTTGCTGATGACCCTGGTCAACGCCCTGGGATGAAAGGTCCACCTGTTGTTGCACCCCTCGTACTGGACCCTGATGTCGCCCTTGTCAGTGACCCTGTGAACAGTCCCAACTTTCCCAATGTACTCCGCCATCCTGGGGTTCCACCCCCCATGCCCAATCTGCATCTCCTTCAGGGTCTCCAGGTCCCTCAAGACCTTGACCTTGTCCCCAACGTTGAAAGTCAAGTGACACGGACTGGAGGTGCTCGCAGCACTGGTGCAAGGAGTCGCACTGACATCCTCGGCCATCGTCATCACAGGCTGGCCCAGCACTGGCAGATGCTCCTTGTAGTACGTCCCACACCTCGCCTCCTCGATGTAGCAGAGGTCCACGCAGCCCTTGTACCCCAGACGGTAGACGTTCGTGCTGCCTGACGTCCAAGTGACTGTTGCCACCGAACGACTGCTCTCGTTGTCCCACCCACGAATGTCCATCACTCTACCAGTTTTCCCAGGACCTCCATCCTGATTGCTCCACTCCCAGTCTGGCCCTCTCACCACTTTTGCCCCGATGAATATTCCCTTCAGGGGGATCTTCGTGCAGCCCTCTCGAGGAGTCAACTCGACCCTGATTGACGTGCGCGAAAAAATTTAATAGAAAAACCTATCGTATTCGTTAGAGAATAGGTTTTTCGAATATTGAATATCGAATTCGTTTGAAAAAATTAAGAATTTCTTCTACTTTTTTTCTGATTATTCGTTCATAATTTTTCAAAACTTCTGCATGATGCAGGACTCAATTGACAATTTCAGATGACGAAAGGTGAAAAAAAACACCGAGATAACGTTCGAAAGGTAGTACACCCAGGCCTTAAGAAAAACCTCTGTCGAAAATTCTACATGTAAAAAAATAGTGAAGGGAAAATATTTCTAAGAAAAAAATTCATCGAGGAAAATTTCACGGGGAAAAATTATCGGAAATTTTTCAATGGGAAAAAAAACTCCGGCCAAATTTGAATGTCGATTTCACTGACAAAAAAATAGATAAAGAAACACTCTAGTAGGAACAATAAAAACTCTTCACACTTTCAAAAATTCCACATTTTTTGCATGAAGTAAATTCCTCGAGCAATTCTGATATGAAGAGCTTTATGAAGGCTTCAAAAAAATTATTTTTCGGGTGGCAACCTGATTTTTTATAAATTAATATAATGAGAAAAGATTGTAAACTTCAAAAATTTTCATTTTTTATGTTGAAATAAATTGAAATTTGAGATATCATGATATATCTCTAAATATAAATATTCTGAAACATACATACCCAACAGCATTGGCAGTCTGGAACCTGTGAAACACATGACTAAGATCATGAACATCATCCATGTAACACTGCGTGCAGAGATCATAATCGAAGCACTGCGCGCACTTCCACCTGATGCCAACGATCCCGTGTCGCTTGCAGCCATCGCAAACGATGTTGTTGTGCTGCACACCAGCAGCTGCATTATCAAACACCAGTAAATCGTAGTACCCCTGGTAGCCAATTCTGTAGTTGCTCCTAGAGCCGTGATCCCACTGGACGATCACCGTTTTGTCAGGTGTCTTGTCGGCTGAGTTGGATGCAGTCGTGGTGCCATTCACCGGGGCCAGTGGGGGCTTCCCTATCTCCACAACCGTTCCAGCGTGACCCTCGCCCCCATCCTGGTCCTTCCACTTCCAGTCGTGGCCTCGGACCACTCTCAAGCCGACTTCTAACATCTCCAGTTGTTCTTTTTCCCTGGAAACTGTTTAGCATGGTTTGACTTGTCGTGGGAATTATTTGACTGAACAGATATGAAAAAAAATGTTTTTTATTTAAGGCCCGGATGTACTGTCTTTCGAATGTTATCTGGATTTTTTTTATCTTTCGTCATCCAAAATTGGCAATTGAGTGGTACATCATGTAGAAATCAATCGAAAAACCTACCGAATTTGCTAGAAAATTGGATTGGGATTCTATTTAAATTCTAGGGAATTCTCGTTAAAATTCCGTTTGTTTTTTGCGCTGATTCTACGAGATATTTGATAGGAGAAAGTCAATAGATTTCGATTTTTTTATATGAATATTTTCTTGGAATATTTTCTATAAGAATACTTGGGCATGAATTTTGTTTTTTTTTTCACTCGGACCCTTCAATGCAAAACAAAACACAATGTAGCGGAAAAAACTTAGAAAATTCGTGCCCACTAGTTTTACTAGAAAAAATCTCAGGAGAAAAATTCAAACAGAAAAATCGAAATCTATTGACTTTTTCCAATCAAATATCTAATGGAATCTGCTCAAAAAACAAATAGAATTTTAACGACAATTCTCTCGAATTTTTTCTTTCTTCGAATTCTTCGAATTTTTTTCTTGAGAATTCCACTGGAACTTTCTAGCGAATTCGCTAAGTTTTTGTATTGAATTTTTTCATACGTGAAACTCAACGGTCTGATGACAGTGGTGGAGGCAATCGTGAGTCATGTCCATGTTTGGATTGAAAGGAGACTCAATTGTTTTTATTACAAAGGTCGATTTTCAGAGATGAAAATTGGCGTGATTAGATTACGTATCGAGTACTTCGGGTCAGATAATTCGGTTGTTAAATGGTAAAATTCAATGGGGTAAATTTGAGTTTTGGTAGATGTTTCTGCGAAATAAATTTGAGATTTCTAATGATCGAATGTGTCAATTAAATTCGTAAAAAAATTGAAAGAAAATAAATAAATAAATAAGTAAATAAACAAAATAGCCTTCTTTCAAACATTCCCTTCTTATTTCTTACTCTATATAATTTGAGACGTCCGTTTCTCCGGAAATTCATGGAAGTTTCTGGAATGTTCAAGAAAGGTCCAGAACATTCGCGAATCGTCTGGAAAACTCTCCAATTTTCCGGTACAGAATGTTTCCAAAGACTGAAATGTTCTAGAAAGTTATAAAAAAAACTCCAGACCGGTACAATACAATTAGAATATTCTAGAATGTTTGAGCATTTATCGTCTGAATGTCGATTTCAATGACAAAAAATTGATAACGAAACACTAGTAGGAATAATAAAAACTCTTTCAACGTTAAAAAATTCCACATTTTTTGCATGAAGTAAATTTCTCGAGCAATCCTGCTATGGAGAGCTTTATGAAGGCTTCAAAAACATTATTTTTAGGATGGGAAACTGATTTTTTATAAATTAAATTAATGAGAAAAGATTGTAAACTTCAAAAAATTTTATTTTTTAAGTTGAAATAAATTGAAATTTGAGATATCATGAGACGAATAATTCTGTCATTCGCCGATTTCCCAGTTTCGATTGGACTTTGCATTTATCCACAGTTTTTTTTAGCTAATGAATCTGCCACAATAATTAGTGATTGAAATAGCGATCTCCTAAGATCACTCGTTACGAAATTAATTCAATACATGAGAAGCAATTTAAAAAACCAACAATCATGCTACGTTTTGCAGTAAATTCCCCTGCCGCGGGTACACTAAAAACTGAATAATTCATCCTTTGCTCAGTGAATTCAAGCGTAGCATATTAATATTAATACCCCCATCTCTAAATCTGGAAAATTTAATATAACTCCCTACTATTTCTCCTTACCCAGTCTCTCCCCATAAATAAAAGTTAAAAATACTGATTAGTGGTAAGAATACAAATGGTAAGAATTAATTCATGACGTGTGATGACGAATTTGTCGGGCATGCAAGTCCCCCAAGAATTCCATTGAATCATACCGGAGCAACAATCTTCCTCACAAATAAAATATAATAAAAACAAACTGTATCTCCGAGATGAGCAGGATTTTTCTGTTATTGTCAATAATGTTGCGGCTCTAGACTTAATTAAATCCAGGGTTCCGAAAAATTAGATTACAGAACTCCAATAGATTTTTATAAACTTTCAATAGAAATTGAATTGAATTTCTTAAAGAAAGTCTATTTGCTAGGTTTTTATAATAAATTTCATGAGAAAATATGATTTATCATCAACAATTAATATCCATCAAGTTCTCCTAAAAAAACTGAATAATAGAAGTGTGACATAGGGGAGGGTGGGGTAAAATGGACACTTTAGACTTTTTTAAAATTATTCATAACTCAGAAACAAATTTATCAATTGAGTTCAGTATGGGCTCGTCACAAAGGGAAATAGTTGTTCTTTGTATTAAAAAAAATTATTAAATTTTATCAACATTTCAAATCCTCATTAACATTTAAAAAGAAGTCAAAAGTGTCCGTTTTACCCCAACCTCCCCTATTAATATAAATAACTCGACATCAACTCGCTGCTATTTCTCCTTACCCAGTCTCCCCCCGTAAATAAAATTCAAAAATAATTTCAGTGCTGAAAATATTCCGCCGATTATAGCAAGGATCTATGAGAATAAGTGCATGATGTGTGATGACGAATTTGTCGGGTATGCAAGTCCCCTAGGAATTCCATTGAATCATACCGGAGCAACAAATCGTCTCACACATAAAATATAATAAAAAAGCTCTATCTTTGGGGTGAACAAGATTTTTCTATTGTTGTCAATAATGTTTTGTCTCTGAATTGATTAAATCCATCGCTCCAAAGAATTAAATTACAGAACTCCAACAGACTCTCATAAAATTCCAATAAAAATTTAATTGAATTTCTTAAAGAAATTGTATCTGCTAGGTGTTTCTAATAAATTTCATGAGGCAATATGATTTAACTTCAATGGTAAATATTCATCAAAATTTCCCCTAAGATCACTCATTCACGGTGGAAAAAATTTAATAGAAAAACCTATCGAATTCGTTAGAAAATTCTAGTGAATTTCTATTGAACTTGTCTATTAGCTTTTGGCCGATTCTATTGAAATGTTCAATAGAAAATATTCAGTAGAAAAAGTCAATAGAATTCAATTTTTCTATGTAACTTATTCTATTGAGATATTTTCTATAGAATTGCCTCGCCTCAAATCTTCCAAGTTTTTTCGTTTGATTTTCTTGATGAGAAGAAAAGAAAAATAGAACGAAAAAAACTTGAGTCGAGCAAATTCTACAGAAAATATATGAAAAGAATAAGTTATACAGAAAAATCGAATTCTGTTGACTTTTTCTATTGAACATGTCAATAGAATCAGCCAAAAACTAATAGAAAGTTTAATAGAAATTCAATAGAATTTCCTAACGAATTCGATAGGTTTTTCTATTAAATTTTTTCGTGCGTCCAACTTAATTGAGTACCCAAGAAGCTATTGAAAAACCCAACAATCCTGCTACGTTTTGCAATAAATTCCTCTTCCCCACATGCAATAAAAAAATGAATAATTCATTTTTCGCTCTCTGAATTCAAGTGAAACTCATTAACATCAATAACTGACCACCTAAATCGATAAATAAAATATAAACTACTGATTAATGGTAAGAATATCCCTCCGATCACAGCAAGGAGCTAAATTCACGAAGTGTGATGACGAATTTATCAGGTATGCAAGTCCCCCAGGAATTCCATTGAGTCATACCGGAGCGACAATCTTCCTCGCACATAAAATATAATAAAAACCCTCTATCCCTCAGGAGAACAAGATTCTTCTATCATTGTCAATAATATTGCGCCCCTGAACATAATTAAATCCTTCGCTCCGAAAAATTAGATTACATGCTGATGATGATTGAACAACACGTATGTCCATACCTTCTCGTAATCTCCAGATGAAAAAGGGAACAACAACAATTTATCCCCGGATTTTCCACGCAATCATAGTGTCAGCGGTTGGAGTTAGTTTCATGTAGGCGGATTGTATTTTTGATGTTTCACGGAAATAGATGAGAGAGTTGTTGAAAAAAAATAAAGAAAAAAGGGAAATTGACGACGGACATTAGTGCATGTATACATTGTATGGCATCGAAGGAGATTTAGGGGCCATTTTCACTGGGTTTCTGTCGCTCCTTGTGGATTTACTTTCAGCTGATGTGTTTCGTGGAAATGTTCATGTGTTATCGATCCATCAGTTGACGTTGGAGTAACAAGACCGGTAATATTTTGGTTTTTTGCATCAACAATTGTCAGCAAAATGGTTTTTCAACTTTTGGTTAATTGTTAAGACTCGAAGTAAGTGGGGGGAGGGAGTGCAACGATTGTTATGGGCTACGAATTGTCGCTGTGATTTGACGTATTTGCAAGGTTTTTTAGTTTGTTTTTGGTTTTTCTTGGGCGATGAGGGGATATTAGGGTTTATTGTTGATGTTTGGGGCAATTGTTGGGTGTTATTTTTATTCGGAAGATTCTTCTTCTGTTTGATGTGGCTGTATCCTCCAACCATCGTACACTGAGAGGTAAACGACAGAGTTCCCAAACAAGTCTTAATTGTGCCAGAAACATAGTGTTTTCTTAAATTATCGAAATGGATTTTTTTGTGCCAAATATGTAAAGAGTGCGCCGAGAGGGAAAATTGTAGCTCCAAAAAATTGTAGTCTCTGTGCGAGCAGGAAATGTTATTTCCAACACCACTTCTTCGTTATTAGATACACCCACTTGTATTTTGCTTTCAAATTAGAATTAAACGATTTCTTTTTTGGTGATTTTTAACTAGTGATTTTGTTGGCTCAATCAAGACTTATTTGAGAACTTGTTTGTTTTTCTCTCAACCACCAGATTAGAAGATTGGCTGTATTTTTTTTACTCAAGACATGTGAGTCAGTTCCATGGTAAAAATACAAGAAGAAGAAGAAATGAAAGAATTAGAGGAAATGGTCTGGATTTTTTTGTGATTGACTACGTGTTATTGAAGAATTGAAGAAAATGAGTCATTTAACTTCAGGATGAGGTTTGGTTTCGAAGTTGATTCATTTATTTATGATTTTTAAAATCACTATCGAGGAGTTTTTTGTTTTTTATGGCCTTAAAATAGAATTAAACAATTTTTATCTTAATTTTTAACTAGTGATTTTGTTGGCTCAAAGAAGGCTTGTTTGAGAACTTGTTTGTTCTTCTCTTAGCGTAGAGGCATGCACCAAACTAAAAGCTTGATTGTATTTTTTGTATTTTTAATATTATTGGAGTTGTTATGGAAGAAATGGTCTGGAGTTATTGGTAATTGATTAGGTGTAATTGAAGAATTGAACAAAATGAGTCAATTCAACTTCAGGATGAGATTTGGTTTTGAAGTTGACTCATTTTACCATTTTCAAAATCATTAGCGAGAAGTTTTGTACACTTGTTGGATAAAATGTAATTCTTCACCTAATTTTTAATGTCTAAAAATTAAATAGCTAAATCTATCAATATTATTGCAGCCACAAAATGAAATATGCAACGTCACCTTCTACAAGTCGTTGCAGTTCGCCTATGATGTTCAGCTCGAGTTCATCTCTCCCAACTCCCATCACGTACAGGTATGACTCAACCCCCACAAAGCTCCCCCTACTGTCTCACAATTAATTCAGCAGTAATAATTCCATTATAATTTCAGAACCAATTGCATGGGTGCTGCGACAAAATGTTACAAATACCTGAGGAAACTGCTGAAGTTCCAACAAATGGACTTTGAGTTTGCCGCGTGGCAGATGGTTTTCCTTCTAGCATCGCCTCAGAAAGTGTACAGAAATTTTCAGAATCGAAAACGTAACTATTTCATGTTCACTATTTCATGAGATTAATAGTTCTCAGACTGTTTTTAAAATTTGATAATTTTCCAGAGACTAAACAACAATTTGCAAGAGACGATCCAGCATTCCTCGTTCTCTTAGCTGGATGGCTTTTAGTATCTTCAGTGGGATTTGCTATCGTCTTAAGATTAAGTTTCTTCCAGTTTTTCAAATTCTTTATGTATACAATTCTTGTTGATTGTATACTCGTTGGATTGTGCGTTGCCACAGTATTTTGGTAAATTAACTTTTCACATTTATTAATTCTCTATATTATATGGAACATTCAATGCCAAATCAGCTCCCATGGGTATCAATGAAGCTCATTTTGAGATTGAAAAAATTGAAAGATGCGTTATTGAATGGCTTAGCGATACTGCAGTATTTCTCTTCGCAGAGTATTGCCAAAAACGAGATGAATGGTTTTTTCATTATTCAAATTGACTAATTTGTTCGCAAGATAGATATTTGTTAGCCAAACGAGTGCTCTAAGACGATAAAAATTAACAGGAATTATTTATTTATATAGTTCTTAATAACGAACATGCCAATTGACGTTTATGACACAACAAAATCGAGGAAGCTAGTTGGCAATCAGAATTGAATACGTAAAACGTAGAAGAATAGAATCTTCTTGAACATCTCGTTAGCATCAGCTGAATATTCTTGCAACAAATTAGTATTGAAGACGTAAAACGTAACAGAATCAAATTTTTTAAACATTTAATTCCTTTGGTGTTGAATGGATTTGATTTTTATTGTAAATTTATTCAGCTGTGAGAGAATTCATCCGCTCCTTTCCTCAAAAAAATTATTTTTTCTGAGATAAATTCACGATTTTGAATAATGTTGGATCAATTTATTTCGTTTTACCAATTCACGAATGATGTCCTTATCCCCGTGACAACGAATCAAAATACTGAATATTCATCATCTTTCAGGTTCGTGACCAATCGTTATTTACGATCAGATCACACTCAGGATGTCGAGTGGGGATATGCCTTCGATATCCACTTGAATGCATTCTTCCCACCCCTGGTGATAGTGAACTTCCTCCAGCTGTTTGTCTATCACGGTAACAGTTCCTCCAAAATTAATTCATGAAATCGATCCCAGGAATTTTAGCGATGTTACTCATATTTTGTTTTTTATTGCAGCAATCATCAATTCTGATTCCTTCACTGCCAGATTTTTTGGGAACACTTTCTGGCTCGTAGCTGTTTCTTATTACGTGTATATAACATTTTTAGGATACACTAGTAAGTCGAATAAATTTTCTGCAGCATCTGGAAAATTATCAAATAATTCTTTGAATTATTTTGAATTTGAAGGACTTTAATTATTTAATTCAAGTACTTGATCTAGTTTTATTTTGTCTAACTTTTTCAAACGTTTTTGGTTAGACCTCTGAGCTTCTCCTGCAATTATTTTATTATTCAACCTTTAAAGGTCTAAACTTGAATTCCAGTTTTAAACCATTAGAAAACATTCTAAAAATTTGAAAAGATGATTAGAATTTTTGTTGTTGTCAATTTTTCAAGATTATGACCTTTTTTCATAAATAACTCATGAAAAATCAATTTTCTACCCTAAAAAATATTTTTTTTGTCATAAAAAATGTGTCAATATTCAAAATTTTTCCATAAATCAATTTTATTTAAAAAAAATGATTTTTTTGAAAATTTACACAATTTTTATTATCAATTTATGAGAAGAAAATATTCATAAAAAAATGTCATCCGCACAATTTAATTGATAAAAGGTATTCAAATATTCTCCAAAATTTTTTTATAAGTAATTTCAAAAAGAATGTGAGGATCACTTTTAGTTCATTACTGTATAAATAAAGAAGTAAATTCATTTTTCTAGGTGTCGAAATCCTTCATCGAACAGCAGGAATCCTCTGGGTCCTCCCATTCGCCCTCATGATCTACATAATATTCCTCTGCGCTGGAATCAACGTAACAAAAGAAGTCATGTCCCTGTACCACCACAGAGTCACATAATAAACCCAATAAAAAGTGATAAAATCAAAAAACGAAAGCAATCATTCGCGAAAAAAAAAATGAAGCACTGACAATGTATTTTTCTATACCTAGAATATTAATCCACCATGAATGATCTATTGATGTAAAAAAGTCAAATGAAATAGTTTAGTAAGTTATTCATTTATTTTCTATTTTTCTTTCTTCTCCTCTTTTGCTCGTAGATAGAAATTTTTAGATTGTTACAATTTATGTATAGATATAATATTAGAATATTACATTCTATTAAATTCCTCTCTTATCCCCACGTTTCTCCTGAAACGTGAATGAGCTACATCGTTTTTCTCTCGCGTTTTCGATAAAAAAAATATCGCTAAATTAATGAATTTGAGGCAATTTACTCAGATTTTATTCGTTCCCTCCGATCGAACAGTTCCATAATTACGGTTCAAGCATTCTCTACTGAAAATACAAATAAATCATGTAATTTTCAAAATATTTTATTTATACCTAGTGCTGCAAGCACTAAAAATAAAAAGAATTAAATTGAAACCCAAAAATTTATGAGAAATAAACACACTTTACGAACGCTCAAATGGCCGAGGAAAGTAAATTAATATTAACTAATGAAAAAAGGGAGAGGGTAATTCAATTATACAAATGCTTTTCTCTTCACGCTAATCATTTCATATTTTCCACTGGGAATAACAGTTCCAGTTGTCCTTGGAACGATGCATTCCTTCTCATCTCTTTAACAGTCTCGTAAGCTCTGGAGGTATTGAACTTAACCACATGCAACAAAAAAATTCCCCAGTGGTGTTCAGTCATCAAGATTTTGAGATAATAAAAAATTAGCAGCCAGATTTTCATTTTTTTCACAGGCAAAGTACGCCTGGAGTGCGAGATGCTCGGGGAAACCTAGTGCCTTGAGCCTCTCGATTGCTTCTCTGTCTTGGGGTGATACAGGAATAACACCAGCACCTGGACTACCACCGCCTGTTACACCACCACGCGCAGCTCCACCAGTTGGGGATGATGCTGGAGCACCTTGGGTTGGATTACCACCTGCTGCACCAACTGCACAAATACAAAATGATGATGACAAAATATTCATTGACTTCTTTTTATAAAAATGAGGATGTATTCATTGGGGTGATATCAGAATAAATTACAAATGTTGAAATCTTGTTTTTGATTTCTTTCGTTGAAAACGTCAGTTTTATAATGAGATGAATCAATTTCAGGAAAATAAACCAACACTTTTGTCGTGTTTTTAATAGTTATTCATAGCTCATTGAACTGAGAAATAAATTTGTTAATTTATGAATCATCAAAAATAATAAAAATGATAATAAAATTAATAAAATTCTTAATTATTAAATTAATCATCAATTAAATATTCACATTACGAATGATTTCATCAATCAATAATTTAGTTAAGAAGATTGACGATTATTTGGTTAATCGAAAATGCTTTTTATGAAATTTAGGATTATTTACTCAATGCGCAATTGACAGTTCAATGTTATAAATTATTCAATTCATCTTCAATCGGAAATGTTCAGCGATTATCAATTATTTTATTATTTTTTAATTTCGATGATTATATTACGTCCCTGTTCAATTGTTGAAATACTGTTTTTGATTTGTATTGTTGGAAATGTCAGTTTTTTGACGAGATGAATCAATTTCAGTGAAATCAAAATTAACAATACAATATAAATATAACAATTCTAAATTAATCATCAATGAAATATTCAAATTGCGAATTATTTGATCGAAAATCTCTTTAAGAAATTTAGAATTATTCATTCAATAGTCGATTGAAAATTTAGATTATCAATTATTTTATTATTTTTCAAGCTTCAATGAAGATGAATGAACCTTAATTATTTTAAGGTGCAACCCCTGTTCATCTTAATAGAATAAGATGCCGATCTCGATCCCGAGAGTTCAATTTCCAGAATAAATTAAAAAATTAAGCTTCCATTGAAATATCGATGATCATTTCAAATGAAAAACTCAATTTTGCTGAATTTCCAAGATGAATAACAAATTCGATGAGCGATTTAATCTTAAATTAAACAAAAAGGATCCAAATTGAAACGCAAAAATGAAATTGAAATTGAAATGTTATTTAAAAGTCAAAATGTCTCAAATATTCGAGACAGCCAATGCGAATTATTCATCACATGAATGAACTTACCAGGTTCATTGAGCATACGAACAAAAGCCTCTTGATTCTGAGAAATAAGTTGGAGTAATGCTGGGTTTGATTGTCCGATCTGTTGGAGAACAGCATTGAGTAGCTGTGGATTTTGTTGGATAACTTGACGCATCTGTTGGAACTGGGGCTGCGTCCTCAAGAATGCGAGTGGATCCTGTCCCCCCTGTGGATCAGCCAGATTGTCCTGTCCCTCGGGATTGTCGACCTCGGGTGGATCCTCGAACAGTTGTGCTGGGATGCCAGTCAACAGGTACTCCACAGCTCTATCAGGATTATTGAAACTAGCGCGGAGAGCCTGCTCCACCTGCTCGCGCTCGTAACCCATGTCCATTATGTTATTCACCATTGTGTTGTACTCCTCGCCCATGAGGAGAGCACTCTCCGGTTGACTTCTTGCGTCAGCTGCTGGGGGATTTTCCGGGGTGGCTACAGGGGTCGTGCGAGCTGCTGCCTGGGCTGCTGGAGGATTTGAGGGCGCAGCTGAGGATGCACTGGTGGAAAAATAATTCGTGGGGATGAAGACTTTCTATTATTTTGGAATTGGTAAAGTGGAATTCTGGTAATTGTCAGGCATTTATTGGGATAATAAATCAGTTCAACTTATGATAAAATTTCATGGAAAAATATAGCGAATTCCATTCTTCTATGGGACTCATTCTATTGAATAGTTTTCTATAGAATTTCCTCGGCTCAAATTTTCTTTTTTTTGTTTCATTTTTTTTATGAACAAAACGGAGAATAGAATCTATCGAATTTTTTTGTAGAATATTTTCTATTGAACATTTCAACAGAAATGTTCTATTTTAAATTTTTTGGGTCCAGATACTGAGGGATTTGAGAGAGCACAGCTGAGGAAGCACTGGTGGAAAATAATTTGTGGGAATGAAGAGTTCCAATGAAATTGACGTTCAAATTACGAAAATTCCTTGGGGCCTTGGTCAGAAGCAATAGAAAACCCCAAAAACAAATGATTTCAGGAAAAAATATCAGATGACCGTTTTTAAACCTGATGAAACTTCCAACGAAAATAATTGTTCTTATTGACATAATTGCACATTTGTGAGTAAAATTCATCATATATCTTAATTTCCCATTTTTCGCTGAAAATAATAATCTCTAGAGAAAATTGTTTTTTTTACAGCTAATGAAATTTCCACCAGAAAATCTCGGTTTCATATTATCCCCTAAAATCACTCTTTATCAAGAGAGAGTAGAGTTCTAAAACCAAAAAAAAAGGCAGAACAAAAACCAAAAATAACTCAATTTTATAATTTGTCTCAATTTGAAAATCTCACATCAGAAACGCCTCATTTCACAAAAAAAATATCAAAATCCCTTTTTCATCACGCTGTGACGAAAAGTGAACTTTTCGGCACGCTCCGCGTGCCTAAAAGTCCAATTTCCGCCACATTGTGATGAAAAATATTGTTCGTAACTCGTGAAAAAATGTTTTTTAGCTCGTGGGATTATATCGACCGCCTTCGGCTCGTGATATAAACCTCCAACTCGCCAAAAAACACTTTTTTGCACTCGTTACGAAATATACTATTTCGTAGCGCATGAAATCTCCCTCAAAAAGTCCCTTAACATTCCCTCCCGCCATCCCTCATTACCAAGACAATTCCAAACAGTATGTGACACCGTGCAAAAAGCAATCATCTTTACCATGCACTTCAGTAATTACCTAGTTGTCGACTGATCTTTGCTCTCCTCGGGCTGGCTTTCACTGGTCGCAGTGGCACTAGCAGTTTTTGGCTTTGTAACCATGACTACAATGAACTTCTTCTCATCAATATTGTACTCAGTCAGTGGATGATCGTCTGTCAGTATTTTCCCTGAAAAAATTGTCCCAAATTACGTCTCAAATTCCCCCAGTAATCTTCCCCCAGTATAATTATCCTCCAATCACTGGTTGCAATGATAATGAGCGATATGTACAGCCCTATCTCAAGAGTAAGGTTATGTCTGATAATTTACCCGCATATATCAATTTCTGGTGCTGTGCCGGCCATTCCTTTTGTGCTTCAATTTTATCCTTGAGCTCCTTCACCTGAACGACATGATTGCAATTAAACCACGAACATTGGGCTATTAATCACAATGATAATACGATTTCTTTACCGTCTTTGATGGATCAATTTCAACAGTGAAAGTTTGTTGCTGGAGATTTTTCAACGTGATAATCATCTTTCCACTGCCTCAAATGTCAACGTTTACGAACAGTACTCGTCGTCCCTCTATGTGTTAATTATTACTAAAATATATTTATTTAGTATAAAGTGCGGGGGAGCCAAAAAAGGATGATTTTCCCTTTCCTTTTGAAAAATATTCTGGTGACGATGAGTCGGCACTGAATAGCACAGCAGAGCCCAGTGTGGGAATACTCGTAATCAAAATACTTGAGGATGCGACGAGGTGTGCGTGAGCAGGAACGACTGGGATTGGCTGCGTGGGAAAATGGAAAACGTGACTTCGCGACGGCGATTGGCTGATTGATCGGGTTATTTTTATGACGCCATTTACAAAAGCGGCTTTTGGGGGAGAATTTTTTGTCGGAAAAACTCGGAGTTGGGCTTTTGTCGCGCTTTGTTGATGATTCTACGTAATTTTGAATCATTGTTTTGGGAAAATAACGACAGATTCACAGGGGTAATGACGAATTTTTGCGCCGGAGTGAAAATAAAATGAAGAGGCTTTATCCCTTTTGTTTCGAAACAAAAAGATGAATTCAATTGGCGAAGTTTTGGAGAAACCTGGCGAATTCGGGGGAGTATTCTGTAGGATTTCTATTGAAGTTTCTATTAGTTTTAGCCGATTGTATTTAAAACTTCAGCAGCTCACGGGGACGAAAAGATTTAATAGAAAAACCTATCGAATTCGTTAGAAAATTCTATTGAATTTCTATTGAACTGTTCTATGAGCAGTTCCACGCCAAAACGGACACCTAAAAGGTTCGATGTCGCGAATTTTCTTGCTGATTTTTTCCTGGAAAGTTGAGCATTAGACGAACATTTTGAAAAAAACAAGTCGAAAATATTAATAATTGCGGGAGTTATGATTTTTTTAAATTTCCTTGCATTTTTTTTATTTGTTTTTGGCCGATTCTAATGAAATGTTCAATAGAAAATATTCAGTAAAAAAGTCAATAGAAATCAATTTTTCTATATAACTCATTCTATTGAGATATTTTCTGTAGAATTTCCTCGGCTCAAATTTTCCAAGTTTTTCGTTTGATTTTCTCGACGAGAAGGAAAGAAAAATAGAATGAAAAAAACTTGGAAAATTTGAGTCGAGCAAATTCTATAGAAAATAGGGAAGAGTAGGGTAAAATGGAGACTAGACTTTTTAAAAATTATTCATAACTCAAAAACAAATGTAATAATAGAGCTCAGTTTAGGCTCATCATAAAGTGAAAGAATTGTTCTTTGTATTGAACAAAAAATTATTAAATTTTATCAACACTTCAACCCCTCATTAACATTTAAAAAAAAGTCAAGTGTCCGTTTTACCCTAACTCCCCCNGGAAAACGTGACTTCGCGACGGCGATTGGCTGATTGATCGGGTTATTTTTATGACGCCATTTACAAAAGCGGCTTTTGGGGGAGAATTTTTTGTCGGAAAAACTCGGAGTTGGGCTTTTGTCGCGCTTTGTTGATGATTCTACGTAATTTTGAATCATTGTTTTGGGAAAATAACGACAGATTCACAGGGGTAATGACGAATTTTTGCGCCGGAGTGAAAATAAAATGAAGAGGCTTTATCCCTTTTGTTTCGAAACAAAAAGATGAATTCAATTGGCGAAGTTTTGGAGAAACCTGGCGAATTCGGGGGAGTATTCTGTAGGATTTCTATTGAAGTTTCTATTAGTTTTAGCCGATTGTATTTAAAACTTCAGCAGCTCACGGGGACGAAAAGATTTAATAGAAAAACCTATCGAATTCGTTAGAAAATTCTATTGAATTTCTATTGAACTGTTCTATGAGCAGTTCCACGCCAAAACGGACACCTAAAAGGTTCGATGTCGCGAATTTTCTTGCTGATTTTTTCCTGGAAAGTTGAGCATTAGACGAACATTTTGAAAAAAACAAGTCGAAAATATTAATAATTGCGGGAGTTATGATTTTTTTAAATTTCCTTGCATTTTTTTTATTTGTTTTTGGCCGATTCTAATGAAATGTTCAATAGAAAATATTCAGTAAAAAAGTCAATAGAAATCAATTTTTCTATATAACTCATTCTATTGAGATATTTTCTGTAGAATTTCCTCGGCTCAAATTTTCCAAGTTTTTCGTTTGATTTTCTCGACGAGAAGGAAAGAAAAATAGAATGAAAAAAACTTGGAAAATTTGAGTCGAGCAAATTCTATAGAAAATAGGGAAGAGTAGGGTAAAATGGAGACTAGACTTTTTAAAAATTATTCATAACTCAAAAACAAATGTAATAATAGAGCTCAGTTTAGGCTCATCATAAAGTGAAAGAATTGTTCTTTGTATTGAACAAAAAATTATTAAATTTTATCAACACTTCAACCCCTCATTAACATTTAAAAAAAAGTCAAGTGTCCGTTTTACCCTAACTCCCCCTATATGAAAAGAATAAGTTATATAGAAAAATCGAATTCTGTTGACTTTTTCTATTGAACATGTCAATTGAATCAGCCAAAAACTAATAGAAAGTTTAATAGAAATTCAATAGAATTTTCTAACGAATTCGATAGGTTTTTCTATTAAATTTTTTCGTGCGTGGTACCCGGCATGCAGAATCAGAGCGGCATGCGGCCCCTTCTGCAAGCTCCAATGCCGTTCGATGTGTGGAACGAGGTTGGGGGTTACGATTATATGATTCTTCCTGGAAATATCAAAATGAAATTCATCTGCAGATGAACTAGTCCCCGTGTTTCGGTTAATTATTCAAGACTCCTAGGGTTTGTGGTACATACATGCTCGACCCTCTGTGGATTTATTTTAATGAATATCAAATTGCTGAGAGTGACAAGAGGTTCGAGATAGATCGTGAAAATGAAGCAAATTTTGAGTGGAAACTTTGGGTAAGCTTTCTGCATTTATTGAATAATTATCCTCCCATTTACAGTACTCCGATATTTATGAGTGAACAAAATTAAACTAGACTTCAATCGCACGTTTTTTGCGCTTCTATTGCGGAGTAATTTGGGCTCATTCTGGAGCCACTGATAGGTTATATTCCCAGTGTTCATTTTCTCCTGAATCATGAAGATGATCGTGATTACTAATTGCTTGAACTCCAAGGTCAGTTGGGAAAATGAACATTTTCATTGTTGAATGCCACTTGATGCAATAATCGGCGCTGACATTTTTTTAAACGATTTTATGGTGCAATTCAAAGCAGCTGGAAGGTTATATTCTGAAAAATCTGATGAATGTCTTACAAGTTCATGAGATTTTATTTTATTTTGGGTCTATTTTGCAATTTAAACGGTACGGACTCATTGTTGCGAGCAATTTTACGCAGGTTTTATTAGTTTTCAGTATCCTCACGGGTTTTCTTTTCTCAATGGTGAGGATATTTAAAGGGACACGTATGGAAAATTTCATAGAAAAACCTAGTGAATTCGTTGCGAAATTCTACTTTCTTCTATTGAACTTCATATTATTCAGCAAACTATTTTTGCGACAGAAAAATTTTTGTCGCAAAAATAGATTTAGTAGTTCAAAAAAAAATCAATCAGTCAATCGAATTCGATTTTTCTACAGAATTTATTGAATTTGTTGAATTGATTTCATTGAATTTTTAATAGAATAAATGTCAGAAATTGAGAATTGGAGACTAAAAAATTTATCGGATTATTATTATTAATCATTTAATTATGTAATAATTAAACGATTAATAATAATAATGATAAATAATCAATATTCACTCTTTGGAGCCACTACAACATTTTTCTGACAAAATGATTTATTACACACAATGGAGTCCCAAAAAACGGGATTAAAAAATTGCAAAAAATTCCTGCAAGTTGCCCATTAGATTATTCATCTTTCCAGACACAGCATTTTGCTGATATCCAAAAGCTCTCGTCACCCGATATCTGTGATCACAACGAGAAACTTGATGTCTGGAAAATTGAGTAGATTTTACAGACCTCTGCTATGTACCCCCCAATCCCGATATTTCATCAATCCAAATCGTGGATATGCGATGATAGTGGGTCGAGTGCTGAGGGGAGTCCTCAAGATTCGGTATTTATTGCTGGGGGGTGCTGTTGGGGGTGGTGTGACCCTTCAGAAGAAATATGAGCAATGGAAGGAGGGTCTGCCAGGGCTCGAGTGGATGGACAATGTCATGCCAACTGAGCAGCAGTGGCAGAACTTCAGGGGATCGTTGATAGATATTAAGAATACTCTCGCTGATAAAATAGAAATTGGTGAGAATCCTCAGGATCAAGAATATTACATTCTATTTGCTCGTTTTCATTATTTGGGTTGGTGATGTAGTCAATTAATTCGTTTCGACGATAACTGAAAAATGTTTAATTGTTTAATTGTTTAAGGATATCCAAGTATCTTTTGCAGTTTGGTACAGACCATATTATAAATTATAAATTCAACCATTTTCAATCATCAAATTAAATTAAAATTAAATAAAAATCAAATTAAATTGTCAATTAAATTGCGGAGAAGGATTTGAAATAAAACAGGAATATTCAGCGACATTCAAATTACATTTTGCATGGAATTACTATTTTTTTAAACATTCGATGTTTGAAATCGATTTCTGGTATAATTCTGAATATGAATAAATTTGTTACGATTCCGAACAAATGATTTTTATGGGGAAAAATTGATTGTTTATACATTATTTATAGAAAACGCTCGTAATTTTTGTAAATTGCAATTTTTAAATTATTTCATGAATCTTCCTCGAAACGTAAATTTCTCAATTATTTTCCAGACTTTTAAAATGCTTTCTAACGGTTCAATATTGAGATTAAAATTCAGACCTGCAAAATTTAAATTAAATCCTCAAGGATATCCGAGTATCTTTTATAATGTGGTACAGACCACACTACAGATTCAACCATTTTCAATAATCAAATTTGTCAATTAAATTGACCGAGATAAATTTGAAAAAAATCACGAATATTCAGCATCATTCAAATTACATCAATTTGTTTCAATTTACTTTACGCAAATTGCACAGAATGATTATTTTTTAAACATTCGTTGTTCATAAATAATTATTAAAGTTTTTTAAACTTTCGAAAACCTAATTTTTTTAGACACGAAATCGATTTTTAGTGAAACTTTGAATATGAATAAATTTGTTACGATTCTGAACAAATGATTTTCATGGGGAAAAATTGATTGTTTATAAATTATTTAGAGAAAATGCTCGTAATTTTCAAAAATTGCATTTTTAAAATTATTTCATTAATCCTCCTCCAAAAGTAAAGTTTCTCATTTTCTTCAGATTTTTAAAATATTTTCTAAAGGTCGAGAGTCAAATTCAGACTTGCAATGTTTAAATAATAAAACCATCATTTCATGACTCATACTTTATACAAAAAAATCATGTTTGTAATATCAATTCTAAATGATTTCTCTTAATGTGACATTCAGATCCTCGAATAAAGGAATACAGTGAAGCCAAATATCGAGAATACAAATACTGGTTCAATCAGAGATTAGAGGACGCAATTAAGGCAGCTGAGACTCAAAGATTAGAGGAGCAAAATGGGGATACGTTGTCGAGTGAGTCTTGCTCGTGTGATTCATGTCGAATAAACATGTTCCCAGATCACGAAAAATCCTAATGAATGCCCAACGCCTGTTCCCATTCTGCTTCATCCCAGCACAATAATCCTCGTCCTGACTTGCCTCCTCTCATGTTCGCACCATTGAAACCTCACCTTTTATTCGAATATTTAGATTCCTGGAGAATCAACATTTGCATGAATGAATTCCCAGATTGAGTGAAAAATCAAAATCCTTGGGGTGGAATTATTTTTCTTCCATACTTATATGATTTGGTCTGTTCTATTCAGGTATATTCGATGCACTCAGAGCCATAGCAAACCAAGTGTATTCAGGTGTGTAATAAAAAATGTAAAAAGAGAAAAATTTTATTTACACCGAGAGAAAAGGATTCTTAAATCATTTGAATTGAAAGTATCGATTCAATTGTCAAGTCATAAACATTTTTTTGTTTCCACAATTCAAGAGACATTTAAAAAAAATTATTTTTACATCAATTGTTCCTAAGAAAAACAAGAATTTATCTTTTAAAAAATTCTACGATTAATTTTTTAAATTATTTTACTATTTCATTTCATTATTTTCTGCTTAAACTTCGATCGTTAGAATCCATTAGTTTCAGAATATATCGAATGAATTGATTTGATCAAGAAATCAAGTAAAAGGAAATAATTCTCTTGATGAATAAATTAATTTCTCGAATTATTGTTTTCAATATTATTCAACAAACAGAAAATAAAAGTTGATTGTGTAATATTCCCTTTTATATTGAGTTGAATTCGAATAAAATTTATAAGAATAATACTTTTCGCTCAGTGGATGGCAACAAGTCTGACCATTCAGCATTTCCAAATATGTTTAACCCACGATTATATCTTTTATCATTATTGGAGCCGATTATTATAATTGAGTACGTTCATTAAACATTGTTACAATACTGAATGGGACAGGCCTATTACTCTATTGAATTGCCCACGATTGGAATGTTCTTTTTTCGCCATTCACCTTCCCAATTGCAAGTCATGCTTCTGGCACAAGCCCTCAATATCATCATTCATGGAATTGTTCTTGCTGAACGTTCGATCAAATACATTCCAATCTTGAACGAGTGAATTATTCGTCGTTGGTTAATAAAAACACGATTTCATGTGATTTTTTAGATACAAAAAAGGAGTTGGCGAAGAGTTCAGTGGCATATGCAAGACCCTTGAGCAGTGATTACGACGATGATCGGAAAAAAGCTCGTAAATATAACATATTAATTATATTAACATTTTCAGTTTTTGACATATTCGCAAATTTTGCGTTTTTTATTTATTTTTGCTGCAACACGCATAAAAAAAATAATGCCTTAATTTAATTCTATATTCTATTTTTTATTCTTTCGTATTTCTATTAGAAGTCTATAAGAATTGAGTTGGAGTTCTGTTCGAATTCTATTAATAAGTGCTATTAGTTTTTGTGTCAATTCTACTGAAGATTAGCAATTCTATTCTATCATTTTGTTGAGAGATATTTGCTGGAAAAAACGTCAATAAATTTTAATTCTTCTATAAAAATTCTTGGGCATAAATTGTCCAAGTTTTTTACTTGTATTTTCATTTGTTGAGCGTAACAAAATTTAAGAAATGAAAAACGTGGAAAATTCTTAATATAGTTTCTTAATGAAAGGGCTACGATTTCCTACTTAATTTTTTCATACGTGAAATTCATGATTTCTAAAAATTGTGGTATTATCTTAGAATCTTCGCAACAGAGGATGGACGCAATGCAGGATGAACTGATGCAGATGCAATTGAAGTATCAACGTGAACTGGAGAGACTTGAACGTGAGAATAAAGAATTGAGGAAGCAAATGCTGCTGAAAGGAAATCAGAAGATCAATAGTCGAAAAATTAAGGTAGAAGAGATTAGCGCATTCTTTTCAAGTCTTCACTATCTCCTGAACACATGAAAAAATTTGAGAGGAAGACCTGGCGCTTTCTCCACAAAATTCTATTGAATTATTATTATATTTTTTCAAGTTTTGTTTCCTTAAATTTTATTATGAAAATTTCATTACCAATGAAAATAGAATTTCTCAGATAAAGCTTTAAGTTTTTTTATTATTCGTTGTCATGCGCGAATGAATGAAGAGATTTGGATTAATCTGGACTGATTTTGAAGCGTAGAAAAAAAATAGCTTGAACATGAGATGAAATTCTTCAAATTTCACGCTGCCAATCTCGAGTTATTGGAGACTAAAGCCTCAATTTTAGATGATTTTGTTCAACTCCTGCTTTTTACTCTTTTAGAAATCTCTTATAGACATGTACAGTGACGTTCTGGACGAGTTGAATGATTATGACAGTGCTTACTCGACAGCTGATCATCTACCAAGAGTTGTGGTGGTGGGTGATCAGAGTTCTGGGAAGACTTCTGTACTGGAGATGATTGCCCAAGCAAGGATATTCCCAAGGTACAACGAATCATTATTAATTTTATAATTGCACCCAGAGAAATTGTTTATTTAAATTGCATAAACTTTATTTGTGTTTCGTGGCTATCAAACAAATAAAATTTTCAAAATTAATAAATTCATCAGTTGAAATTAAAATAATTGAAATAAAGGGAAGGCAATAAAATCATTTGCAATAAATGGATTATTTATTCCATATAATTATTCTAAATTATTTTATTTAGTTAAAATGAGTCAGTTTAGAAAACATGAGAAATATTTTTGTTCTGTTTTTTTTTTTAGAAAAACCACACTGAAATTTCCAAATTTCAGGGGCTTTTATTTATCGTGCTGATGAGCTTCCTACGTGTGGTTCAATGTAAAAAAATGATAGAAAATTAGGTTTTGACTTTTTTCATTGATGGAATCTTCAAGAGAGATTTCACACATACACAATCCATGCATAAATATAACTCAATGATTTTTTTTTAGAAATTTTCATTTTTGGGGTTTTGGAATTTTTTATCTCAAAATTTCTACAAGTAAGTTGACCCAAAAAATTGGAAATTTTAGATTTAACGAATCCAAAGCTTCCATTCAGAGTAAAAAATTTCAAAATTTGAGAATTTCAAAATTTTGAAATTGTGTCGTAAGGACACTTTTGAAGATTTTATTCGTCTAAAGTCTCTTTCTGATCAATAACAAATCAAAACCTAATTTTTTCTCATTATTTACATTAAAACTAAAGTAGTTTACCCTCCAGCACGATAGATGAGGGCACCAGCGGTTTAGAATTGTTGTTATTGTCCCCTTTAATGCGAAACAATTCAATTTTTACATTGGAATAAAGGGGTGGTGGTGAAATGATGACGAGGGCGCCCGTGAAAGTGACCCTCAGCGAGGGTCCCTACCACATCGCTCAGTTCAAAGACAGCTCTCGAGAGTTCGACCTCACGAAAGAATCCGAATTAGCAGAATTGAGGCGTGAAGTTGAGCTGAGAATGAAGAACAGCGTGAAGAATGGGAAGACAGTCAGTCAGGACGTGATATCGATGACGGTCAAGGGCCCTGGACTCCAGCGAATGGTTCTCGTTGATCTCCCTGGGATCATCAGCACTGTTACTGTTGACATGGCTGAGGACACCAGGGATGCTATTCGTCAGATGACCCAGCAGTACATGAGCAATCCAAATGCCATTATTTTGTGCATTCAGGATGGTTCTGTGGACGCTGAGAGGAGCAATGTCACTGATCTTGTTGCGCAGATGGATCCTACTGGAAAAAGAACTATTTTTGTTCTCACGAAGGTGAAATAAAAAAATTCATTGATAAATATTTGACGAAAAAATGGTCAATGATTATCAAAATGTCATTCTCTGTGACGATAATCGGAAATAAAAACTTTCTATTACTCAATTAATCAGAGATTTTCCGTACACATTATGGAATGCTCATCTAATTAATGATGGAATCTATCTCATTAAGGCCCGGGTGGATTATCTTTCGAACGTGATCTTGGTTGTTTTTTTATTTTGATAATCTGAAATGATCTCCAATTGGTATTCAGTTTTACATAGCCCTGGAGGCTCCAAAAATTATTCTTGTACAATCAAAAAAGCGTTGAAAAAAAGCTGAACATTTTCAAAGACCGTTTTTGAATAATATTGAGAAATAAACTCAATAGGGAGGAAATTGCAAATTAATAATTTGATGCATCTAATGGCTGTTGGGTCGTCATTTGTCACAGTAGTCAATGGTTCTCAGATCGTTAGTTACCATTATAAATCATCCATTCACCATTTCCTCTTCATCGGACTCATTTCTTAATTTTTATTAAAAATGCTTTTCAGTTTTTTCAACATTTTTTCGATTGTACAATCATAATTTTGGAAAGTGTGATATATTTTTCATTATAAAGATAAAAAAACAATCGAGATAACGTTCGAAAGATAATCCCCCCGGACCTTAACTCAATCTAATCCTGAAGACGAAAAAATGCGAAAAAAAATAATATAGTATAACCTAATCTAGTTTGGCATTATTATTAATTACGACAACAAATCATAACTAAATTTTTTTCATCAACCATTGATACTATAATAAAATATTAATAAAGAAAATTATTCTCCTGCCGATCTCTCTCGAAAATGAGTAAAAGTGATGTAAACAAAAAACCCTTGCAGGTGGACATGGTAGAGGAGAACCTCACGAATCCGGACCGGGTCCGTAAGATCCTCTCAGGCAAGCTCTTCCCCATGAAGGCCCTGGGCTACTTCGCAGTGGTGACAGGCCGAGGTCGTGCGGACGACAGTATCCAAACGATAAAAGACTACGAGGAGAAGTTCTTCAGGAACTCAAAGCTCTTCAAGGACGGGGTCGTCATGTCGGGACAAGTGACCACCCGAAACCTGAGCCTGGCAGTGTCCGAGTGCTTCTGGAAGATGGTCCGCGAGACGGTCGAGCAGCAGGCAGACGCCTTCAAGGCGACCAGGTTCAACCTCGAAACCGAGTGGAAGAACAACTTTCCCAGATTACGAGAGCTGGACAGGGACGAGCTCTTCGAGAAAGCCCGCGGGGAAATCCTGGACGAAATAGTGAATCTGTCTCAACTGTCCCCAAGACATTGGGAGGAAGTCCTGATGACCAGAATCTGGGAGAAGGTGTCCATGCACGTCTTCGAGAACATCTACCTGCCAGCTGCTCAAACCGGAGACACTGGGACCTTCAACACAGCAGTGGACATAAAATTGAAACAGTGGGCTGAGCAGCAACTGCCAGCAAAGAGCGTCGAGAGTGGCTGGGAGTGCCTGAAGCACGAGTTCGAGAATTTCATGAGCACGGCGAAGCAGAGTTCAGATCACGACGACATTTTCGATAACCTCAAGAATGCTGTTGTCAATGAGGCGATCCAGAGGCACTCGTGGGAGGAGAAGGCGTCCCAGATGCTGAGGGTCATTCAGCTCAACACCCTGGAGGACAGGAATGTCAATGACAAGAGGGACTGGGACGAGGCTGTCAGGTTTCTCGAGACTTCTGTCAAAGACAAGCTCCAGAGCACTGAGAAATTACTGTACGAGATGCTGGGGCCCAGCAGGAGGGAGAGGATCTTCTACTGGATGAGTCAGACTGAGGAGCAGGCGAGACGATCGGCTGTTAAAAACGAACTCGATAAGATTCTTTACTCTGACAAGAGGCATGCACCGATGCTCACGCAGGACGAATTGACCACTGTGAGGAAGAATCTTCAGAGGAGTGGGCACGATGTTGATAATGAGTTTGTGAGGTCCACTTGGCATCCGGTTTACAGGAGGTTCTTCCTCCAGCAGAGCTTGACCAGGGCGTATGACTGCAAGAAGGCTTTTTACATGTATCATAATGGACATGAGAATGAAACTGAGTGCAGCGATGTCGTGCTGTTCTGGAGGATTCAGCAGATGCTGAAGGTCACTTCGAAGGCTTTGAGACAGCAGATTATGAATAGGGAGGCCAGGAGGCTCGACAAGGAGATCAAGGAGGTGCTGGAGGATTATAGCCAGGATAGTGAGATCAAGAGGAAATTGCTGACCGGGAGGAGGGTGGAGCTTGCTGAGGAACTGAGTGAGTTTTGGTTGGAGTTGACGTGCAGAAATTTGAGATTAAATTAAATTGATTGAAATTGAATTTCGGTTTTTTCATTCAAAATTCAATTAATTTGGTATTAATTATTATTAATTATTTTTATTGTCTTTTTATATTTTTTAATTTATTTATTTATAAAATTCGATTTCTTTCATAGAATAAAGTAATATAGGTTTCCCTTAATCTGTCCGTATTTTTACTATAGAAATCCTTGGGCATGAATTTAAAAGTTTTTTTTTCTTGGATTTCGCGGTAAGAAACAAAATTTGGAGAATTCATTCTCAAGAATTTCTGTCTATGAAAAAATTTCGAGAGAATGTTTCATGTATGAAAGTCAAAATCTCCTGACGTATTGAATTTTTTTCTACTGAATTTTTTCATAGTCTGATATCAATATCAATTATTCAGAGTTGATTATCGTAAACGGAAGTGAAGTTGAATGATTTTATTTCATCCCTTGACTAATGAACTCAATTTTTATTAATGAATGAATGAATAAAAAAATGAATGATTGAATGAATGAATAAACGACTGAATGAAAAAATGAATGTTGATAATTTCATGTTATTTTTTACTTGCAGAACGCGTAAGACAAATTCAGGAGAAACTGGAAGAATTCATTCAAGCACTAAACAAGGAAAAATGAGTGGATTAACGCCGAAACTCCGAGACATTTATCATATAATAACGCCAATGTACAGCGATCCTGGTGATCGACGGCTTTAACACCGATTTATTTCAATAAGTGATGACCGAAGCAGAAGAGGGGCGATGATGGACTACCGTTGAACTGTACCCCTGGGTCCCTCCCTCGATGATCACATTGTTTGATGCTACTGAACAGTCACGACGTAGAAACTGATTGAATTGTTTACTGATTTATTTCGTCAGTCGAGAGGATGTAGACCAAAAAGCGAGAAGATCTTTGAACAAGACAGTTTTAAACTGCACGTTTGTTAGGAAATGGTGGAATGAATAAAATTGTTCTCACACAGAAAAGAAGTCTGTTTTTTTTCTCTATTGGGGATAATGAGTCGATAATAAGTCGTTTAAGGATGTTTAGCCAAAACTCATATTATTCACCATAATTTTGATATTGTCTCATATCAAATTGATTTTCAATTGGCTTTCAATTGAAGGCCCGAGTTGAAGACCCGAGTTTGTAGCAAAGATGTCAGACAAGATATGAATGTTTTTTTGGGCTCAAA